TGAATTTTATGAATTTCGAGGGAGGACAGTTTTGGTTTTGCGAAATCATAGTGTGTAACATTCGTATTGAACCCCCCAAACCCCTAGCATAAATAAATTCCAAGTCATGTGCCCACTAATTTAACATTGGTCGAAATTATGCATGAGAAACACAATTACGATCTTAAAAATTCATTTTTACGATCTTTTTTTTAATTTTTAAAAAATGACAACAAAAGAAGAAATTAAAACTGAATTAAACAAAGCAGAAGTGAGATTTGGCGAGGCAAAGAAAGATTTAGAAGAATTTATGAAAGAGGAGAATGTGAAGAAATTTAAAGAAGTGTGGGGAATGGAGGAGCTGAAAGAAAAAAAGAAGTTGTTGGAGGAGAGCAAAGTTCGGTGGGAGAAGCAGGCAGAGGAGTGGGGAAATAAATTGAGAATTCAGAGAAGGGGAAGGTAATGAACAAATTGCGTAAAAAAAAAATATACAAAAAATTATTTTCCATTCGTTTTATTTATTTATTCAAGTGATCATTTAATATACTTTAACTAACTTCTGCTTTTTTTCTTTCCACAATGCGATTCTTTTACATACATATATTAAGTAAGTTTTCTAATGTGTTTCATATACATGTAACAAGGCAGCTATTTTTGCAGCACCTTATATTTTTTGTGATAACTTATCTCATTTTTTACCCATTATTGTTTGCAGTTTTGTGGACTCATATAATAGAAGAAAAAATCTCAATTGAAAAGAAACTTGTTGAATATTTTTCCACACCTTCTGATCATATGCCAGCTGAGAATGAGCTAGAAGCATATCTTAAAAATCCATTTATGCATAAAATCCCCATAAGACACAAGCTTTATCATGAAATTTCAACATCTCCTGAATTGACACTGTTAAATATTGAAAATTATTTTGTTGATGAGGATGCTGTCAGAGAAACTGGTGATGCCTTTTCAACATTGTGTGAAGCTGCATTGACAATCACAATAAGAGGTAGTGAAAATAATTTAATTAGCGAATATGATGCATTGGTAAAGAGGATATGGCAGAAACTTAGTCAGAGTATTGTGTTTGAGTTAGAAGTTAATCGTAATGTTGCAGATCCTTCTGGTGCAACACAAAAGTTGTTATGTCCAGACATCATTGCTTTAATTCTTGATGTCTTGATTTTTAAAGCTGAAGAGAAAAGGAGTCAAAATGAATTTAATGATTGTGTTGAGGAGTTGGAATCAAAGATGGAAGAATGGGGTACAAAATTATATTGCAATATGATGTAAATAATTATAAAATTTTTATATAATAAACTAAACAAACTTATAATATTTAGATATTTCTCTTTTTGGTGAATTACCTTATTTACCATGTTATGCTGCTGCAGGGGAGATTTTTAGGTGGTACATTATTGGGAAAGATTTGAAGGCATTTCCAATTTCTCCTCGATATAATCTTTTTAATTTACTTCACCAAGTTTTGGTAAATTTCAAATTTCCTTTTTGAAAGTATATTATTACAATTTCCATTAATTACTGTACATATTATTATTGAAAACATCCTCAGGTTCTTATCTCAGCTCTTAATATGTTTCGTCTCCTTGTGAAATTGAAAGATCTAGTACCATCAGCCAATGTACCTCTTCCACTTTACAAAACTATTACTTGTCCCCGTAACACTACAATATGCCGTATCTCACAACATGCTGTTTTAAAGGAAATTAAACATTTTGACAAATATGTTACTGAAGGTTATACTGACTTTGATGCACTTAAATCAGTTTATGAAATTATTCGAGATAGTGAATGCCTCAGCTGCTCTGTTCAATACATTGATAAACCAAAGCTTAAAAAACATCGAAAGCGTGCATATGATGATGATGAAACCTCATCAACTTATTCGGTGACCTTAACACCTGTGTGTCATTACAAGAACCCATCCAGTGAGGATGAATTGAAGAAGGCTTTATGGGGGGTACTTCATGTTCTCAAAGTGTTGCATTCACATAACTATGTTCATAGAGACATACGTTGGCCTAATATCATGAAACATAAAGATTGTTGGGTGCTTTTGGATTATGAACATTCAGTAAAAGCTGGACAAACTCCTAAAATCCAATTGTCTGATTGGCCTTCTGAAACCACTGTTTCTTATGAAACTAGTGCAGATATGTATCTAGTGGGGTTGTTAATATCTAAGTCTGGGATCACTAATCTTTCTGAGGCTGCTCATGATTTGGAAAGTAAGTTGAAATATAGTGATAATACTAAAAGATTATCAGCACCAAAAGCATTAGAACATTCATTTTTTGATAGTTGTAAATATTTATAGAAATATCAATCATCAAAACAAATTATCTTTCTTTGCTAGTTATCATTCCATGCACCAATTAAATTGGATAAAATCATAAAAATTATTAATATCTATATTTGATTAGATTAAAAACAAATAAATAAAATTCTAATTTCTGACCTTTAATAACAATCATTTGAATTTTTTTGTTATCCTTTAAAGGTATTTCCATCATACATGTTAGCAAAAATTACTGTTGCCAAATTCAAAATGCCAAAATAGTTTTTCATAGTAGCCAAAATTATATCCAAAATTATTTGAATTCCTTGATTCAATAGCCAAAATACTGGGCAGTTTTTTTATGATCATTAATATAGAGAATAAGGAAAAGCCAAAATATTTTACAAATGCAAAAACAATTTTGGCCAACATCTATGTTGTAAAATGTCACTTAACTGTAAACCTTTTCCTTTTTAAATATAATGTTTCATGAGTTTACTTCATTATCATATAGTTATTTGCAAGGATACTTGCAATTGTTAAATTAATTTCAAAACCCACCAATGAATTTTAATAATTGCTGTGGATCTGAAAAACATATATTCAGAATTTATTACAAATAATAATCTAACAAAATGTTTATTTTATTGATTAATTTAAATTTATGTGTTAATAATAAAGCTAAACAAAGAATTTCAATAGCATGTTTTTGATAAATTGAATCTTTTCTACTTTGAAATTCTAATATTACTTCTAAAATCAGTTATTGCTTTTTGGTGTTCCTGCATTAAAACAAATGAAAAACCTACAAAGTGTACATAAAATTATAAAATTATATATATAGGGATAAGTGTATATGAAAAGTAATAATGAATACAATGGTTCTAATGAATATCAAAAAGCAATTGATTTTTTAGAAAAAAGCTGTGGTTGTGGTTGTTCTTCCAGGATTCCTAAGGAAAATTTTGCAGAATTAAGAGAATCATTTCAAGCTCTTTCTAAAGTAGAACAAGACATATTTTTAATGGCTCAACTTAAGGTAATGGATGGTGGTTCAGTAAGCACTAGTAGACACCTTAAAAAGAAAACCAGATCTAATAAAAAAACTTTCTATCATTGGGATCACAATACACCTCTTTGTCAAGAAACTTATCTCAATATGTTGGGAATTGGTAGGACTTATTTTGAAAATATTAGAAATCATCTGATAAACAATGGTCTTCTACCAAGAATTCATGGTAATATTAAAAGAATGCCTCAATGGAAAACTAAGATGGTGATTGATAAAGATGTTGCAGAAATAGTAAAGAATTTTCTGGATAATTATGCAGAAGTTCATGGATTACCAAGTCCAGGAAGAAGTATCAATAGAATAACTTGGTCAATTGTATTCTTACCAGCTGAAATGAGCTATAAATCAGTGTATAGAGATTTTCTAGCTGGTCTAGAGGAGAATAGTAATTTGAAATCTTTAAAATATGATGCTTTCAGAAAATTATGACATCAATTGACACCAGAAATTCAAATTATGAGTCCAAGAACTGACTTGTGTGATACTTGTCAACATTTTAGAGATGGTTTACATTATAATGCTCAGCAAGAAGAAGAAGCTAAAGATTTGCTCAAAAGATTCAAAGAACATTTGTCCAAGGCAAGATTAAAAAGAAATTATTATAATAAAAATACCAAATTAGAAGAAGAACAAAGAAAACTGGTTAACCAAAAATATTCAAAGGGTAAAACACAATATTGCAGTATTGATGCTACTGCACATTATAGTTATGATTGAGCCCAAAATGTTCATGTACCTCATTTAGATCAACAAGTAAAATTATTACCTTAGTCCATGTAAAGTTCATTTATTTGGTATTCAAGATGAAGCAGTAAGGGAGAAAATCAATTATGCTCTTGATGAAGATGAAATTATAGGAAAAGGACCCAATGTATGATCTTTGATGGAATTAAGAAAATGAATAAAGGTGAAAAGCATTTAATTGATGATCCGTCTATAAATCAGAGAAATGTCGATCAATTTATTATAAAAATACAAAGGAAATTTATATAAAATTTTCAAAAAATAAAAATCTACAAATGTCCATTACACAGTAACAATAAAACTTCTATACTCATTATCAAACCCTTTATTAATTTTGAACCAATAGATATCATTGTCAATAGATGATAATGACTTAAAAAATTTATTGTATGAAAAATTAATACCACGATTTGCTTTAAAAAGTAAACAAAAATTTGGGAAAAAAGTGGTGGTAAAAAGGCTTGATTTAAACGTAATTGAAAAATCACTCTCCAACAAATCAAATAATAGATATTTAGATTTAATCAAAATCATAAAAAACAAGCAGTTAAGAATGCTAATATGGATAATTAATGTAAAAAAAAATAATATTAATATTAATTTCACATGCATAATAGTATTATAATTCTTGGGTTCCATGGTAGACCTAATGTAAATTAACTTCATATTAACTATTTTTATAGAGGTAATTCTATATATCACCTAATATTAAGAGGAAGATTTTAATAATCAAATTACTAAATTTTGATCCCTGAAATTTTTGGTAATGTTCACTTTGTCTGGTTTTGTTGAAGCATTCCCAATTTAGAAAATTAATAAATGAGCAGACATACTCAAACAAAGTAAACAGTACATTTAATTCTCATAACTATAGATATTGTAAATGGAATTCTATGCCTTTATTTTAAAAACCTGATTTCTGTTCTATATCCTTCCTTGACAATGAGCAAAATTTTAATCAATGTTACTAAATATAAATAAGTATTAGATCATATTATTTAAAAGTGAAAAATCTACTGTACATATATATATAAATATGATAGAGAAAGTTGTAATTGTGCTTGCTTGTCAATGGTTCCAAAGAATAAGTTGTGTAGAATTTCATGAGGCCTTTCAAGCTCTTTCAAAACAAACCAAGATATCTTATAATGGCTCATCTTTAAGCAATGGATAGAGGATTGATAAGTGCAAACAGATATCTCAAGAAGAAATCTTGTGTCAACAAGAGAACCTTTTACTCTTGTAATATTCTTGGAAAAGAAATGTACTATGAATATGCTGGGAATTGATCGGTTTATTTTGAAAATATCAGAAGTCATTAACAATATTAACAATTCATTTGTGGTACTTCGTTGTTTCCTCAAATGGTATATATAAAATATAATGAATATTCTTAGCAAATAAATTCTAATCTACTTAACAAATTTGATCTAAATTCCAGAATCCATATTATCTTTATTACTAATGGAAGGGAAAAAAATAAAAAGTTTTTTATCTATTCTAAAAAATTATTATTGTTGTTGTGTATACTTGAAAATATATGCATTAGAATTGAGAAAAAGCAAAGTAATTTGAAAAAAAAATTTTAAAATAAGATTTTTTAAAATCACCAATACTGACAATTAATTCATTCATCCAGATCCATTCATTCATCATTAACCTGATTTGAATAAAAGTATTGCAATTGGCCCAACATAGAAATATATAAAATGTTTGGTTTCTATTATCATGATTATTGTTATTTATTTTATTTATAATTAAAAACCCCCGAAATGTATAATAATCTAAATTAATTAATTAGTTAATGAGAATAGAAGAAATAAATACCATGAGTTACATAACTTCCAAAGCTTCTTCCAACAATACAATGCCAAGTTGTTCCAAATCGTTTATCAAACTCCCGTTTAATAAATGCTGCTATATCTTTCTCAATATAACATGTTTCCAATGCTTGTCTTGCACAGTCAACAACATCTTGTTGCATCTCTTCTGTCATGTCAACACTTTTAATAACAACTTTATTTTCAGCGATCATTTTTATTTAATTTTTTTAAAGATGATCATTAATGTGCTGCGTCAACTGGCTCCTTATAAAGAAATTTTCAATTTAAAAATTATTAACCAAATTTGTAAGCGATACGCGAAATTTTATTCATATATAAAACGCCAAAATAATTACATAAGGAGAAAGGGCTCCCACGCCCTCTCACTAAGATCTAATTAATGTGATAATTATGTGATATAAAGAGTGATTTTCTTATAAAAATGTTATGGTATTGTTGAAGCTATTGCTATAGAGCCTTTTCTTAATGATCGCAATGATGATCAAAGTTGGTTGTGGATATTTTTTATTTAAAAAACTACTATTATTACTAATTTGGTTTTTTATTTCTCAAAAATATTTACATCTTTAGAAAATGTCAGATTTTATTATTATTGGAAAAACCTCCCGGAAAAACAAACCAAATTTTTTCCTTAAGTAATGAATTATGTGTATATATATATATATGTATGTGTATTTAAAAAAGTAATTGAATTAGAAACAAAAAAAAGTTTTAAATTAGTTATAGTATAATAATAATTATAACGAAAATTACAATTTTTTTTTGGTTGTTCTAACAGATATATAATATATATATAAGAAATAAAAATTAATTAATTAAATTAAAAAAAAAAAGTTTTTGAGCATAAATAAATGAATAATGATACATTTAATTTTTAATCAATCTTTTGACTTCATTAAATCTCTGAGTTTTTGTTTTACTTATTTCAATTAACTTCTCACAATTAGGCGTTCTCAAATTTGTAGCAGCTTCTAGTTTTTCTTTATCAGAAGAAAACCATCCTCTTGCATCATTTATCTTTTGCTGCTTATGAATTGCCTCATTATTACATCTTGCACTAAGCTGTTTAAGAAAATTTATTTCCACGCCATCTTCAAACAATCGTAATTTTCGTGGATTATGTTCAAACTTTGAGAATTGATTTGGGTCTACAAAATAAGGTACATGTAACGAATGTGTAAATCGAGATTGTGTATGGTAATTTGTTGCTTGAAGCGAATATTGTGGTAAAGATTCTTGCATAGGCGATAGAAATATTGTAGAGTAGAATGAGTATACAAAAAGAATAAGAAGTGGTAGTAATTGAAAAAATGTAACTGTTGTCGAGTTCATTGGTTGTTGTTGATTATGCCGATTCTGTGCTGATGCTCTACGTGAATGAAAATGCCTTGTACGAAATCCTGGCCCAACAAAAGTTGCTGAATGAAAACCTTTAACATTTATTTTTTTAAAAAAAAGGGATGTATTTATAAGTATGTAATGCACGTTTGTATGTATGCATAATATGCATCTTATCACTAATATCTGGTTATTAATAAACATACCATCACCACCACCATTAAAGAACATATTAAAGATTTCTTCTGGCGATACATCCTCTGCGAAAAAGGCACCATTAGTAAATCCATTACTAAATCGTGCACCGTTAAATTCAGAACGAACTCCATTATTTCTTGCATCGGGATCTGCTCCATGTTCATCGTAGAAAGTACGTTTTTGTGGATCACTTAAAACCTGAAAAGCCTTACTAACCTCTAAAACAAAAAAATTAGTTCATCATTAAATATACTTTTAATTTAAATTTTTTTCATTTACTTTAAAAAAAATTGTTTTTAATTTTTTAATATACTTTTAAAAGCTTCGTCAGCACCCGGTGCTCCGTTTTTATCAGGATGTGTTTGTAAAGAGAGCTATTTTCAAAAACAATTAAATAAAAAAAACCTTAATTAATTAATTAATTAAAAAATTGAGTAAAAATGCATATTTTTAATAGAAAAGTTCTAGTCTAATTACCTTTCTATAGGCTTTTTTTACTTCAGCATCACTAACATCTTTTGTTATTTCCAATATTGCATAGTAATCGCTAACATCACAAGCTTTTATTCTATCAACAGCAGCCATTTGTTCTTTTGAGTAATCTCTAGACTGCCTTCCCTGTTTATGCTCTCTAGAGGATGAGTTTGCTGAAGAATGTACAGACATTGAATATAGTAGAGTTGAGCAGATCGGTAAAACAAAATTACTTGTGACAGAGACAAAAAAATTTTTTTATATTACTGCTCGATTGTAAAAATATATTTTGGGATTTTGGGAATACTAAAAATATGCAGCTAAAAAATTGTTTCCTATAGAATATGACGATCTATTTTTTTATTCATGTAAAAATGTATTTTATTCAACAAAGTTATTATCAAAATTTATTCGATATATATACATTCATAATTATTGTGCCTTCTTTTTCTTTAGATTAATTGATGCACGCTTTCCTTGTCCTATAATAATAATAGTGATAGAAATGATCAATTAAATATTTAAGATCTCAGATATGTCAAATAACAATCCAAAAAAAAAAGAAAAAAAAAGATATTATATAACATCATAATTTAAAATCCTTTCAACAAACCTTTCTTAGGGGCACCTTTTCCTCTCTTCTTTCTTATTGTAAGATCTTCTAATCGTTGTTTTTCTTCTTGATTTATTAATTTCATTTCTGGAAACATATCAGTGATTTGACGAAGTGTTATCAACTTTGTTGGATACCAATTGGTCACTGTAGGCCCTATCAAGTGTTGTCTAAGAATTTTGTTTCCAGTACGTTTACTATCAGGGTTATAAATATTGTTAAAAAGTTTGCATGTAAGTTTCGTTAAATTCAATAATCGATCTCTATTTGGTTTTACTAAATTGCTCATTTTTTTTTTTTAGAAAAAAGCATAAACCCATATCCACCGATTTCTGCAAGGTTGCACCATTTTAGACTGTTTTTGGGGTATATTTTTGAAAATTTTGGTACATTTTTTGCTGTGTAACTAGCATGCAATTAATTGTAAAAAGGTAATCTAATTTATAGATTTTTTTTTGGTACTTTTATTAATTGTTGGTATTTGATTATAATTATATTATAAAAGATGATTCTCATGTTCCAAAATTTCAATTACAGTTTTTTTTCCCCTTCCACCATCTTCCAATGTTTTTCTAATTTACTTATTTATATGGGGCATGCTGCAACAAAACAACAAAACCAGACAAAGTGAACATTGGTATTACCAAAGATTTCAGGGATCAAAATTTAGTAATGTGATTATTAAAATCTTCCATTTGTTATCCTCTTGATATATAGAATTACCTCTATATAAAAATAGTTAATATGAAGTTAATTTACATCAGATCTACTATGGAACCCAAGAATTATAGTACTATCAGAAGTATTCTAAAAAAGGAACAAGGTGAAAAAATTGCTCCTTACATTTTTAAATTAGCAGATACCAAATCTTTGCAAACATATTTAGACAAAGAAAGGATTACCTATGAAATTTATCAAGAGGAAAGAGTTTTCAAAAGAGTATTAGAGAATTCTAGTAAAGAATCAAGAAAAAAAAGAAAACTGGCAGAATAACTAAACAAATTATTACTTTTTTTTCAACTTTGTTAATTTTTAATTACCTTTTATTTTCAATCAAGGTCATTTTTTAGTTTGTTTAACTTCAATTTGAGCAACTAATTGACCATTTTGCTGTTGTAATTGGGTTAATTGAAATTTTAAATCATTGATTTCTTTTATTAATTCTTGGGGAGTTAACTCTTTTAGTTGCTTATTTTCCTCTTCTAAGTGCTTAATCCTATCCAATAACTCTTGTTTTTGTCTTTTATGCCAATCCTCAGCCACTTCCAAAGCTTCCAAATGAGTATCCACTTCGTCAACTAATTGATTTTTTTCTTCTCTCAGACCATTTATTTGTCTTTCATAAGAAACTGCTTGACTTTCATAAGGCACAGATGGTAGTTCCTTTTCTTCTAGATTTTCATTATATCTAATACAGTCACAAATATATTTACCATTACTGAAATCCATGTCTAACTTGGTTTGCAATCTCCCACACCTTTCACACTTGGTTAACTCGTCATTCTCAAACTTTTCTTTACAATCTTCACAAACTACATCATCTGCAAGTCATTCATTGTTTGATTTAATACGAGTTATTATTCGAAAAGCTGATTCATTATCTCTGCCATAAAGATTAGAACAAAAATCACAGGTTTTTTTGCTTTCTTTTACTAATCCTAAAAGTGTGTAAATTAGTTCTCTCATTAATTAGTTCTTACTTCTACCCGACAAATCAATTCTTGTTCTTGAACTTTTTGTTTTTTTATAAACTGCTTAAATTGTTGGTATTTAGTTTTTAACTTTTCTTTCAATTTAAGTTTATTCTGCTTCTTAGGCAAAGGAGGTAGTTCCTTATCAAGTGAATAATACATTTTTTTCTCTAGCATTTTGATTTTTTCCTCTGTTTTTTCAAGGCTATTATTAGATTTGTCCAAATTTTTTGACTGCTTTGCCAATTTATTTTCTAATTCCTTAATCTGTGCTTTTGCTTTTTCAAGCAACTTATTAGACCTGTCTAAGTTTTTTGACTTTTTTTCAATCTCTTCCTTCAACACTTTTCTTTGATTATCATTGAATTCCTTGCTAGTTTCAGTAAAAGAAATAAAGTGAGTTTTGGCATCAGTTTCTCATTTATCAATAATTCTCATAATAACTTCACTTAGTTTGCTATATTCGCCACATATTTTCTGTAACAACTCTTCTGGTTCTTCTTTTTGCCAATAAATCCTTCCTTTTTTAATATCTTCCTCAGATAATTTTGAATAACCAAACAAGAGATTTCTAACTTCTCCTGCTAAATCTTCAACTTGCTCTTTATACTTATTCAATTCTGCTATTTTCTTTTCAAACTCTTTTCTCTGTCTAGTGTTTTCATAACCTCTTTTACTTCAATTGGAAATATATTCAGAACACTTTTCTGCTACTTCTTTTGAACTATTAATGAATTCATCTAACATCTCTTCAATAGTGATGTTGTCAAAATAAACTCTTTTAGAACCTTGAGCTCATTCTCTATTTTCATTAGGATCTACTGCCATTCTTAACTTGCCTTCATCCATTCACTTTTTGTTTAGATTTTTGTATCATCAATGACCAGGAGTATAACTGTCTTCACTAGGTTGACCAGTAAGGTGTCAAATTTTTAACTTTAGATTTTCAATTTCTTGTTCTCTTTTTTTGTTGATATCACTGATTTCTTCTAATAGTTGTTTATTTTTCTGTTC